AGGTAGAGCGTGGTGTGTGTGTGTGTGTGTGTTGTGTGTGTGTGTTGTGGTGTGTGTGGTGTGTGTGTTGGTGTGTTGTGTGTGTGCTGCGTGCGTGCGGCGTGCGTTGTGGTGTGTGTGTGTGTGCCGTGCGTGTGTGGTGTGTGCTTGCGTGTGGTGCGCGCGTGTTGTGAGTGAGTGAGTGAGAATATTAATTTAAGTAAAGCAATTTAGCACTTAGTTCGCGTCTATCCTTGACTAAGGTAACATTGTATGATTTAAATAGTGAACTCTCATATTAATGTTTGTATATGTTGTAGTTCAATGTACACAGATAGAACTCTAACTACAATATGTTTATAAATAGTTTATTATATTTATTGTAATTTTAAATGAACAATTGTCACAAAATCCAAGTCAACAGAGTTATTTGTAATTCTAATTTTATTTACAGTAAATATTATAAAAGAAATATCAACCGTTGTATTTTTGTAATTATTGTAGTACAATGTTAAAGATGTTATTTAACCTCTCTTTATTCATAAATCACCTTTTTGTAGTATTAATTATTATTATTTATTATTATTATTATTTTTTTCATTCAAAACGTCCTCAGCATCCTTCAACAATTTCCTCTTGAACAAATACATTGGGTTCATGGTTTAATCAGTGGACAAACATGTCAGATTACAGGTTGTTATTGTGAGTCAAGGTTCAAGTGGGAAAAAGCACAGAAACAAATCTCTGCAACTAGTCCTAGTCTCTGCAACTAGGTCCCCAGTCATCTGCAGCTAGTCCCAGTCCTCTGCAACTAGTCCGCAGTCCTTGCAGCAGTCCCCAGTCCTCTGCAACTAGTCCCATAGCCCTCTTCAACAGTCACAGTTCTATACAATAGTCCCTGGATTTAACAACTAGTCTAAAGACTTCTGCAACTATTAGTCCTCTCAACTAGGTCCTCTTCAACACAAAAAAAAAAAAAAAAAAAAAAAATAAAAAACAAAAATCCTAAATACTTCTGCAAATAGTCCTCTTCAACTAAGTCCCAAATACTTCTGCAACTAGTCCTCTTAAACTATCTCTTCAACTAGCCCAAAAGACTTCGCAATCTAGTCCTCTTAAACTAGTCCTCTTCAACTAGTCCCAAAATACTTCTGCCAACTAGTCTCTTAAACTAGTCCTCTTCAACTAGTCCCAAAGACTTCTGCACTAGTCCTCTTAAACTAGTCCTCTCTTCAACTAGTCCAAATACTCTGCAACTAGTCCTCTTAAACTAGTCCTCCTTCAACTAGTCCCAAATACTTCTGGCAACTAGTCCCCTCTTAAAACTAGTCCGTCTTCCAACTAGTCCCAAACATCCTGCAATTATCCCTAGTCCTCTAAACTATGTCCTCGCAACTAGTCCCATAGTCCTCTTACAACAGTCACTAAGTTCCCTATAAACTAGCCCTGATTTAAGCAACATACCCAAAGACTTCTGAACAGTCCTCTCAACTAGTTCCTCTTCACTAGTCCCATGCCTTTTGACATTTCAAATAACAACAAACACATTAAAGAACAAACTGTGCAGTAATGAATCAGAATCAGGTTTATCACCAGGTGGGTTGACACGTATGAGGAATTTGACTTGATGTCAGTGGTGCATAAATGAAAGTGAAACAACATTAAAAACACAGATAGAGAATATTTCAAGAGTATTACCATTGAAATGGAATATAAATTCTGCCAGTAATAAGAAAAGAAACGAAAAGAAAACAGAATTGATATAAATCATAACACAAAGTATTCAAATATTTCCTGTCTTTCCTCATAAAATAATTCTCAGAGTCCTGCAAGTGAAAGAGAGGCCGTCACCACCAGAGGACCAAAGAATGTGATATCCTCCGCGGCGCACGCCCCCTAGAGCCTCCAGGAGATCATGATGTGATATCCTCCGCGGCAACAGCGCCCCCTAGAAGGCCTGCAGGAGGAACATGAAATGATGTCCGTCCGCGGCAACAGCGCCCCTAGAGCCTGCAGGAGGACCATGAAGTGATATCCCTCGGGCACAGTCCCCCTAGAGGCCTGCAGAGAACCATGAATGTGATATCCCTCCGCGGCACAGCACCCCTAAGAGGCCTGCAGGAGAACCATGAACGGGGATACCCCTCCGCGGCACAGTGCCCTTAAGCCCTGGTTCAGACCGACAGCCCTAACTTCCTGTGCAGCAGCCGCCGCAGCACTGGATGAGCAACAAGAGCCTGCCCGGGTCTTCAGCGTGAGGAACACCTCTTATATATAATATACGTTTAATTCAGGCACAGCCAAGGCACAGTTTACAGGTTTATTTGAGTCAAGGTTCAAGTGAAAAGCACAGAAATGAATCCTGACAAGTCTAGGTTCTACACTACCTCTCAAACAGACCTCTTGAACCAGTTGGTCCCTGGATCTTCCTGCCAACTGGCCCTGAAATGTCGCAAAGATTCCTATATCTTTGCTACTGGTGGGTCCCAAAGACTCCTGCAACTAGTCATCTACTCCTGCAACTAAGTCCTGCAGTCCCTCTCGCAGCTAGTCCTTAAAGACTTCTCCAACTAGTTCCCAGTTCTCTAACAACTAGTGCCTGGAGTGCACCAGCTGGGCGTAAAAAAGTAGTCTAATGCTAACGTCGGCTTAGCTACATCCTATCTTAGTGATTCGAATTAACACAGAGTGCACCAAGCCCTGACA